ACTGATGATTATCATATAACAGCAAAACCAAATAGTGTGAGTAAAATTTGGAATTTATTTGGCCTTATTAAAAAACAAGATGACAGTAATTTATTAAGATAGAAAATATAATAGCAAGCAAACCTCAAACCTCGTTCGTCATAGATGTTATATTAAAAGCAACAATATTGGCGAACGAGAAATAACACATGTAAATAGTGAAGACACAGAGAGTGTACTGCATGCCTGTTCTCAATGGGTGATTGAAGATTGTCGGCCTTTTTCATCGGTAGATAGAAAGGGCTTCAAAAAAATGGTTCAAAAATTGATCGATATTGGGGAAAAGTATGGAAGTCATATTAACATTGACGAGCTGATTTCGAATTCAACAACAGTATCACGTTATGTAAACGACATGGCAACGGAAAGAAAACAACAAATAACTCGTGATTTGCATCTTATTATTGCCGAAGGAGTATCAATAACTTGTGACCTATGGACCGACAATTTTGTTAAAAGAAACTTTTTATGCGCCACTTTACATTTTCACGCAAATAGCCACCTCAAAGAGTTAGTTCTAGGAACCAAAATAATGGATATGGACAGATGTACCGCGGAAAATATTTCTAAAAAATCAAATTACTTTTATCGGATTTTGAAATTAAAGATATGAGGAATGTGATATTTGTAAGTGATCGGGGTTCCAACATTATGTGCTAATCTAATTATGTTAACTGTGCTAATCATTTGTTTAACAATGCATTGGAAGCTGCATTCCAAAATACAGAAGAGCTACATCCAATATTTGAGGCCTGTTAAAAATTGGTTAAATATTTAAAAAAATCAAATTTGCAGCATTTGTTAAACACATCATTAAAGAACTATTGCTCTACACGTTGGAATTCTTACTACAATTTATTCAAGTCTCAAATCAATTTTAAAAAATTGGTTCAAAATAAATGAAATACTTTTCTCAATGTTAAACATTTTGGTTGAACTTTTTGATAAATTTGACATAATTAATAGGAAACTGCAAGGAGTAAATTATGTAACCATTAATTATGTATACCTTTCAATGAATAGTTTAAGTACAACGTTATAGTACATCAAAAATTAGTGTAGATGTAAATTTTGATGTACTGAAATGGTGCAATAACCATGCAACGGAATATCCCAATTTATTTAGAATTGCAATTAAAATTTTGTCTATTTCTGCGAGCAGTGCTGCGTCTGAACGAGTATTTTCTATGGCGGGAAATTTAATAACCGAGAAAAGAAATCGTTTGGGGTCTAATAATGTTAACAATTTACTATTTGTAAATTCATTATGTAAATATAAAATTAATTCAACATTATAAATTTAGTTTTTGAATATTTTTCTATTATTTTCTATTTTTTGGTTAGTTTTTATGAAGTTTTGATAAAAGAGTTTATAATAGTTTGGTTACTTAATAAATCTATTTTTTATCCTCGTTCTATTGTGTAACAATTTTTAATGTAAATAAACATTTTTTTCATTAAATATATATTTTTTTTTGTTTGGATAATCCTTGTTTTCCAATGTGATGGTGTATCGAAAATGACTTTACTAATTTCATCTCGAAAAAACCCTTAACAATTTTTGAATTAAAACATAAAAATCTTAAAATGTAAAAGATTATGAAAGATAATTAAACATGTTTTTACGTAGTTAGTTTTTACAAATTTTTGCGATTTTAAATAATTAGTTAAGTTTACATTACATAGTCAACATTAAATGATTTTGGACAAATTTTGTGATTTTAAATAATTTTACTCATTTTGAATATTTTTGATAATTTTTAAACAGTTTTTTACCACTTTTGTACTTTTTCAGCAAAATTTTAAATTTCATTACATTATACGGAACTTCTCAAATGTCCATTCGCTGCTTTTGAATGAGCACAACACTACATGATTCACACTTCTGTTGACGAATGAATAAACCATAGCAACAGCGAATTGATTAATATGATTCGACATGACAGCCATTCGGTGCAGGTCTCGTAGTCGACAATGACGAATGATTCATGATTCACAGTAACCATTGACGAATGAAGGCAACACTCAAGCAACGAATCAGTGAATTTGATTCACTATGTGAGCCATTCGTTGCAGATCTCTGATACCCACACTTCCACCAAGCGTATCGAAATATATTCTTAAATCTCGGAGAGGAAAACTGGTTGTGTATTAACGACTGTATTTTGAGGATCTTGATCCGTAAATGTAAATTTACATCATAATTAGTAGAGTTGAGTATCAGTTTTAAAATTAATAGAATCATCCGTATAATTAATATGTACCATTTTTAAAAAGAGTCTATTGAAATAGTTAGGTTCATTATCTAGTATTTTAACATCATCAAAATCAAAACGATGACCCGTGTCTGTAGCATGTTGGGATAAAGCACAAATAGACTTTCCTAAATTGCAATCACTTTTGTGTTTGGAGACCCTACGTTTTAGCCACTGATCCGTCTGACCAACGTATTTACCATTACATGCACCACCAGGAATGCAGTAAATAACACCAGACTTTAGTTGGTGTTCTGTCTTGTCCTTAACATTCGTGAAAAACTTTTGTAATTTGTTATCGTAACAGTCAACAATCTGCATATCCTCAAGGGAATTCAGTACCCGTTTTATTTATTTACTTAAATTAGTGACAAAAGGTACTTTTTTATATTTAACTAGTGTGTTTTGTTCATTGATCCTGCTGTTGTTAAGGTGATTGTGTATATTTGATGAAAACAAGTTTGTTAAGCAGATTGGACGGATAACCGTTGTTAATAAATGTGTTATTTACCTAACCATTTATTTATATTAATAATAAAAAAAAACGTTAGTTAATTTAACTAATGTTAATGTTCCTGCTGATGTGTCAACCTTACTGTCTTTAGGTCCTAAATTTCATCTACCTACAAATAGCTTTAACTTTAATTTAAAACGTTTGCTGATGTTCTTAGAAAATATTATTTACAATGAAAATCCGTCACATCGTAATTTAGTAAGGGCTAAATTAACGAATATTATTACTGATTATCAATGTTCCCGCGAAGCGTGTGATGGGTTGCATGGTAGACTAAATGAAATGTTAATCAACACAAAAAAAATTTATTAAATAAAACCCTTCAATTATAATAACCAAAGCTGATAAGGGGGCTACTACAGTTCTTATGGATAGAGATTCTTATCTAAGAGGTGACACAGAAATGTTGGAAGACACAAAAGTATATAAGATCCTCAACAAAAACCCTCTTAATAACATACAAAACTAAATTAACAACTTAATTAAACATCTGCAAGAACAGAAATTCGAAACACAATTCTATTCTGGCTAAGGCTTACTTCTTACTTAAAATTCATAAGGACGAAATACCATTAAGACCTATCATTCAACTACGATATCAGTAATACTTTTAATTTTGTTAGAGACTTTAAGGGTTACAAACTTCCGCAGGATCACATTTTGACTTCACTTGATGTCGTGAGCCTTTTTACGGTTATTCCGTTGGATTTGGTCAATAAGATTGTCAAGGATAAATGGGAGTTAATTGCACAACATTGTAGTTGGAATGAGAACACATTTTTGTCGTGTTTAAAATTGATTTTTGATACCTTCATTTTCACTTATAATAACGTAGTATATCACCAAGTTGAAGGTACCCCGATGGACTTAAAAATTTCTCCGATCTTAGCCGTACTGGTTGTGGATTTTGTAATTGATAAAGTTTTAAAATTAAATAACACAACTTTTAGAATTGATTTCATTAAGAAATATGTTGATGACTTAATATTGGGTGTACACAGGGATGATATCGACATAATTTTAGAATCATTTAACAACTTTCATCCGAGCATTCAATTTACCATAGAGGTCGAGAAAGACAATAGTATCCTTTTTCTTGATACTAAATTAATACGTAATGAACATAATGTCATTCTTTTCAATTGGTATGTTAAACCAACGTATTCGGGAAGGTATTTGTATTTTCAATCAAATCATAATTTTGGACGTAAAGTTTCAACTATTTTAGCGATGAAGCACAGAGTGACACAGATATGTGATACTATATTTCTTAAAGAAAACCTAACTTTCTTAAGAGACACATTTATTAACAACGGTTATCCGTCCAATCTGCTTAACAAACATTTGTTTTCATCAAATATACATAATCACCTTCACAACAGCAGGATTAATAACAAAACAATTAACAAAACACACTAGTTAAATATAGAAAAGTCCCTTTTGTCACTAATTTAAGTAAAAAAATAAAACGTTGATTGTTACAATAACAAATTACAAAAGTTTTTCAGGAATGTTAAGGACAAGACAGAACGCCAACTAAAATCTGGTGTTATTTACTGCATTCCTTGCATGTAATGGCAAATGCGTTGGTCAGACGGATCAGTAGCTAAAACATAGGGTTTCCAAACATAAAAGTTATTCCAATTTAAGAAAGTCTACTTGTGCTTTATCCCAACATGCTACAGACACGGGTCACCGGTTTGATTTTGATGATGTTAAAATACTAGATACTGAACCCAACTAAGTATTTCAATAGACTCTTTTTAGAAATGGTACATATTAATTACACGGATGATTCTGTTAATTTTAAAACTGATACTCGAAACCTTAGTAATATATACGCTTTACTGTTCGCTAACGACAAAGTTTATAAGAAAAGTAAGAAAATTAATGCTGATGTCACCCGATCACTTATGTTTTAGCCACTGATTTATGATTTTAAACTTGTAGCGTACACAGCCTACCTTCACATAGAAATTATAAACTTTTATCAAATTACCCAAATTGCTATGTTACCATTTTGTTGATATTTTGATGTAAATTCATTCGATTATAAACTTTCAACACGACACGTCTAACTTGTAATTCTAAAAAGAGTTTAAATTATTTATATAAACTACTACTACTCTTTATTGGTGACCCCGTTGAATTGAACCTGCACCCGATAATAAATTAAAACCAGTATGCGGCAAATTAGAACCTGCACACCAAGATGATTTGAACCTACTCCGACGAATATTTGAACCTGCCCTAACGATTATTTTAAACCTACACCCGAACCACATCGCTCCAGACAACAGCAGAGCAACAGCCCAGTTGTCCCAGACCCCTTCCAGTTGTCTCTTTCGCGACTCGTTCCCAAGAAGATATAACAGCATCTCTTCAAAACCTTTCAGTCACTATTCAAGCCTTATCCCAACGACTTCCGTCTCTAGAAGATAAAATGTCTTTAGTAAATTTCAAACGTGATGACAACAATATACCCCCCAACGCTGTCGTAGTTGCCATTACTCCAGAAGTAGATCGCGCTCCTCATCCCAACATTCGCGTGGTAGTCAAATTCCTCTGCGCCTTCTAATATATATGTTGGTATCACCATAAATTCGCTGATAGGGCGGAGAAATGCCAAGGATCTTGGTGTAAATTTTCCACATCGTTCAACAATAAAACAAATAATTTGTCCCACCCAAAAACTAATACCCAGTTTCAATAGAAAACCATCTTTTTCCAAATTCAAAATTTCGCCAAAATGGCAATCCCAATTTTCTATCAATCCTACAAGTTCGCGTCTTTTCATTTTCGACAACCAAAATAATCTAAATTTTTTAATTGACACTGGAGCCGATGTTTCTGTACTACCTTTTAAATTTTATTCAAATCGAAAACAAGATACCATCTCTTCGCTTTCCGCTGCCAACGGTACAACAATTAAAACCTACGGCAAAAAACAACTAACAGTGTGGATATATATATGTGTCCACAAGATAAATTAATATTTTAATAAATAATAATATGAACTACATTCACAGGACTGATAGAATCGATTGATTATTATTCACTTTCATTAAATCTAAGAATGAATTTTCCTTTCATTTTTACCATCGCCAATGTTAAATTGGACTGATTTCCTTCATAAATTCAATCTTTTAGTTGATATTAAAAACAAGCGATTAGTTGATTCAACAACAAAATTATTTTCAATCGGTTCTATTGTCAATACTAATACACCAACCCCAAAAAACTTTTCTATTGAAACTGCATATACAAAACTTCTCAACTCATACCCAAACTTGACATCTACACCAGATTTTTCAACACCTGTTCAACACACAACCACTCACAAGATTATAACAAATTTACACCTTCCTTTTTGTCGTCCCAGGAGATTAGATTCACAAAAATACAATATTGCCAAAAAAGAATTCGAGTACATGGTTTCTATTAGAATTTGCAGGCCCTCTTCTTCCTCTACGGCATCCGCTTTACACATGGTTCCGAAAAAAGACGCTGACGATTGGCGACCATGTGGCGATTACCGACACTTGAATAATGTCACAGTCCCTGACCGGTACCCCTTACCACATATTCAAGATTTTAACCTCCATTTACATGGATGTAAAATTTTTTCAAAAATAGACTTGGTGAGGGCTTATCATCAGATACCTATAGAAGAAGAAGACATCCCCAAAACCGCAATAACAACACCTTTCGGTTTATTCGAATTTACTCGAATGCCTTTTGGTCTGAGGAATGCAGCTCAAACTTTCCAAAGATTTATTAACGAAGTGCTTTCTGGGCTGCATTTCCTCTTTGTTTACCTGGACGACATCCTCGTTGCTAGTAAAAGCGAGGAAGAGCATTACAAACATTTAGAACAATTGTTCAAAAGATTAAGTTCTTATAACATCTCTATTCAACCTTCGAAATGTGTATTTGGTGTAACTTCTCTAAATTTTCTAAGTAATCAAATTTCTGCCGAAGGAATCCGACCTTCTCAGTCCAGGATTACCGCAATTTCGGAATTTCCAACTCCAACAACATTGAAACAATTGCAAAGGTTTTTAGGAATAATAAATTTCTATCATAGGTTCATTCCTAACATTTCCAACACTTTGGGTCCTCTATATAATTTATCGAATACCCTATATTCCAAGAAACAGAAATTAATATCAACTTGGTCGACTGAACACGACATTTCTTTTACAACATCTAAGAATGAACTAGCTAAATCTGCCATCCTTGCTCATCCATCACCCCAAGCTATGCTTTCTTTAACAACGGATGCCTCAAATAGTGCCATGGGAGCAGTTCTTGCTCAAACTTCAGACAACGAAACACGACCTTTAGCTTTCTTTTCTAAAAAATTAACTCCAAGCCAGATTAATTATTCTACTTTTGACAGAGAACTTTTAGCGATTTATTCCGCGATAAATTTCTTTAAACATTTTCTACATGGAAATCAATTCGTTGTTTTCACTGATCACAAACCTTTAATTAATTCAATATTTTCAAAAACCGAAAAAACTCCTCGACAAATTCGTTATCTGAGTTATATCACCCAGTTCACATCTGAACTTAAATATATTAAAGGAGATTCGAATGTTGTGGCAGATACTTTGTCACGCATCAATGTTGAATCCCTTAATTGCGATTATCCAGATTTAAAATCTATTAAAATTGCCCAAGACCAGGATATACAATTAACGCACTTACTCAATAAACAATTTTCCAACAAACATTTACGCAATTTTCATTTATCTCAGCAAAAAAATTGAAGAATCAGATTTTAAACTTTGGTGCGAAATATCTTCACCATTGCCAAAAATTTACGTGCCAGATAAATTTAGAAAAATCATTTACCAGAAATTTCACAATATTTCACATTCCGGAATACGTGCAACTGTTCATAACCTTAAATCCCGTTTCTATTGGCCACATATGTCAAAAGATATTCAGTGGTGGACAAAGACATGTTTACCATGCCAACGAGCCAAAGTGAACAAATATACAAAATCACCTATCCAAAAAATCCCTATACCAAGTGGCAGATTTGATCACGTTCATATCGACTTAGTTGGCCCTCTTACACCTTCTAAAGGCTATACGTACTTACTCACTGCAATTGACCGCTTCACTCGCTGGCCAGAAGCTTTTCCGCTCAAAGATATCGCCGCTTCAACGATAGCCGATACTCTCTTTCGAAATTATTTCTCTAGGTTCGGAATACCTCACACCATCACGCATGACCAAGGTAGACAGTTTGAATCTTCATTATTTTCAAAGTTTAACAATATTTTAGGTACTCGCCAGATTCACACATCCTCTTTCCATCCGCAAAGTAATGGCATTTTGGAGAGATTCCATCGAACTCTCAAAACAGCCTTAATTGCCAGAGGTAGCAAGAGCAACTGGTATGACGATCTTCCCGTCGTTCTTTTAGGCCTCAGATCTTCCCTTAAGGAAGACCTTGGCTGTTCCTCTGCCGAACTTGTTTACGGCCAACCTCTCCGACTACCTGGTGAATTCTTCATAAAATCACAACATTCGTTAGAGACGGAACCCATTTTGCAGAATTTGCGTGAAACATTTTCAAACCTACAACCAATCGAAACGTCATTTCATTCACGAGACAAACCTTTTCTTCATAAAGATCTTTTTAAATCTGATTACGTTTTTATCAAAATTGAAGGCATGCAACCTTCACTTACCCCTCGTTACGAAGGCCCTTTTAAAATTCTTAAAAGACTTCGAACGACATTCATAATTTCAAAAAATAATAAGGACTTACTTATAAATATAAATCGTTTAAAACCCGCATTTTTACTTAATGACAAGTCAAATAACTGCCATAGTAACAACGCATTGTCTACCAAAAAACAATTCAAAGTTCACTTTAATTTTTCTTGCTAACTTATCTTTTATTTTCGTACTTGTAATAATATTGCTTTTAACATTTAGTTTTCTTGTGAAAGGGGGAGTAACTGTAGCGTACACAGCCTACCTTCACATAGAAATTATAAACTTTTATCAAATTACCCAAATTGCTATGTTACCATTTTGTTGATATTTTGATGTAAATTCATTTGGTTCATTCGATTACAAACTTTCAACAAGACGACACGTCTAACTTGTAATTCTAAAAAGAGTTTAAATTATTTATATAAACTACTACTACTCTTTAAAACTGTTTGTCAATCTGTTCTTATCTTAATTTTAATTAATCGATTCAATTTTCTATAATTTTAAATCTTAAGTTTAAATTTAGGCGCCTTCACCGCAAAAGATATGACGCTTGCGCAATTCAGTCATTGCTCACAATTTTTGATTGGTATCAATGCTTAAAAAAGTTTTTTCAAGTCTTAAACAACACATGTTATTTTTATATTAAGCAGGTTTTACCTGTCAGACATCTTGTACGCACGTTGATTCATCCAGTTTTGTTAATGGTTTCGCTCAGTTTTTGATCCTTTATGATCCTGTAACTTTGATAATGGTTTTCGGTTATTCTACAATTGTTAGTTTCAAAAAGACAAGTAAGTGTTAATTACATTAAGGAAATTTTTAACTTTAACTTTTGTTAATCTCTTGTACCTTTAAAAAATGCTCTGGGGAAGGTTAGAATAAATAACCGAAATATTAGCTTTTTAAAAAGTTGTTTCTTTAATTAATACCTGGACCGTACACCCTGAATAGTTGCATTTCCTTGTTGCTCACTTGTATCGGTCGTAGATACTTCTTTTCTGTAAAAGTGTAAACGTCAAGCGGCTGAATGAATCCAGTGGTTCTAGCGGGAATCGTAAAAGTTTTGATGTTTTTATTGCCTTTATCAATGTTGTCCAATTTTTTTTCAGTCTGACCAGTCCAAGAATCTAGCGAAAGAACAAAGTTTTCCCGGGTGTTTGGTAAAAAAACGTGTTTGATCCAATTAATGGCAAGATCAGATGTTAATTTATCTGATTTTGTTGCAAATACGGCAATATTGTCTACTTTGTACAAAGTTTTCTCAACAGAAAACAGAAATAAATTCGCTTGATGCTTGTAGTAATTGTTCTTTTGATGGCATTTGTTTTTTAGTCACAAATTTATTTATATTTCGAGTTACAACTCCATGATTCACTTTAAAATTATGTAACCAAAATGTGGAAGCAGTGAATAATGTCGGTTGCAAATTGAGTTCTTCTCTAGCCCGTAAAGCCCATCTTTTTTTATCAATATCATGAACAGGAAGTAATCTCTCAGAGGACATTTTAAATTGATCCAAAACATCCACAATTTCGAAATTTGTAATAATTTTTCATTTCTGGAGCCACCTTTTCTAATTTGCTCCGCCCACCTATAGTATGATTTTAAATTAGGAACTTTCCTAAATCTGTGCTGAATTGACTNGTTCGCTAACGACAAAGTTCATAAGAAAAATAATGCTGATGTCACCCGATCACTTATGTTTTAGCCACTGATTTATGATTTTAAACTGTTTGTCAATCTGTTCTTGTCTTAATTTTAATTAATCGATTCAATTTTCTATAATTTTAAATCTTAAGTTTAAATTTAGGCGGCTTCACCGCAAAAGATATGACGCTTGCACAGTTCAGTCATTGCTCACAATTTTTGGTTGGTATCAATGCTTAAAAAAGTTTTTTCAAGTCTTAAACAACACATGTTATTTTTATATTAAGGAGGTTTTACCTGTCAGACATCTTGTACGCACGTTGATTCATCCAGTTTTGTTAGTGGTTTCGCTTAGTTTTTGATCCTTTATGATCCTGTAACTTTGATAATGGTTTTCGGTTATTCTGCAATTGTTAGTTTCAAAAAGACAAGTAAGTGTTAATTACATTAAGAAAATTTTTAACTTTAACTTTTGTTAATCTCTTGTACCTCTAAAAAAATGCTCTGAGGAAGGTTACAATAAATAACCGAAATGTTAGCTTTTTAAAAAGTTGTTTCTTTAATTAAAACCTGGACCGTACACCCCGAATAATCATTTACTTGTAATAAACGTCAGGCGGCTGAATGAATCCAGTGGTTCCAGCGGGAATCGTAAAAATTTTGATGTTTTTATTGCCTTTATCAATATTGTAAAATTTTTTTTCAGTCTGGCCAGTCCAAGAATCTAGCAAAAGACAGAGTTTTCCCGGGTGTTTGGTAAAAAAACGTATTTGAACCAATTAATGGCAAGATCTGATGTTAATTTAAATAAAATAACAATGTCTTCTGTTTGTACTTTTATTAAAAAATGGATTATTTGTTTTTAATTCTACCGCTTTCGGTTCAATAGTAGAACCATCTTCAGGAACCCTCGAATTTCGTCAATTTATTTTTAAATCTCTTGTGATAGTTAACATGTTAAAAATATTGTTTTCTTCAATTTACAAGAACTTGTGTTTTTCACTTGTAGGGTATTAGCTGTTAAGCTCAAAGTTAGTTTGACAGGAATATGTGCGCACGCGTTTTTCATTTTGATGTTAATTTACCTGATTTAGTTGCAAATACGGGAATATTGTCTGCTTTGTACAAAGTTTTTTTCAACAGAAAACAAAAACAAATTCGCTTGATGCTTGTAGTAATTGTTCCTTTGATGACATTTGTTTTTTAGTCACAAATTTATTTATTTTTCGTGTTACAACTCCATGATTCACTTTAAAATTATATAACCAAAATGTGGAAGCAGTGAATAATGTCGGTTGCAAATTGACTTCTTCTCTAGCCCGTAAAGCCCATCTTTTTTATCAATATCATGAACAGGAAGTAATCTCTCAGAGAACATTTTAAATTGATCCAAAACATCCACAATTTCGAAATTTGTAATAATTTTTCATTTCTGGAGCCATATTTTCTAATTTGCTCCTCCCACCTATACAATGATTTCAAATCAGGAACTTTCCTAAATCTGTGCTGAATTGACTTTAAAGGTAAAGCTTTTGTCTTACCGGAACGCCAAAATTGTAGAGCCTTTTTTTCGCAATCCTTTAGTGATTCTTCGAAATCACTTTCAGAAACATCAACACAAGAAACAAAATGTATGTTGTTTCAGGACATACATTTTCTTCATTAAAATTTAAAGTATCAATGCTTTCAACAAATATCTCTGCACCTATAGCATCATTAATCAAATTTTTTAAATTAGTTGCAAAAAGACTTTTCCTCTTCTGTAATAACTGAATCAACATCATATTCAGGAGAATTAAAACTTCTTTGTAATAAAAGAACCATGTTTCTTGGGTTCATCGACATTTTCTTTACAGATTCTTTAAATCCGTAAATCGAAAGCAGCAAAAAGAGCAGCAATTGTTAAAACACAAAAGTTCAACTTATAACAAGAGCAGTGGACGGTAGCGAAATAGCGAATAAGTGAGCTTAGCGATTGAAATGAGAAACAAATAGCTCTAGGCATACCGCCCCATAGGCCGTGTCGTCCGCTACAGTTAGACCCGACACCGATGGTCTACATATGTTTTCCTCAAAGTATATCGATTAAAGCTTTTGTACATAAAATTCACCAGTCATATAGTTAATTAACATTTTAGAATGTTTTTCAGCAATTCAAAACAAACATTCATTCAGCCGCTGCACATTTATACTTTTAGGCCTTGGAAGGATTTTTTTAGAAAATTTTCTGATATTGTTATGCTCTATAATTATGATGTAAATTTACATTTACGGAACAACATCCTCATAATACAGTCTTTAACATACAAAATAGTTTTCCTCTACGAGATTTAAGAATAAATTTCTATACGCTTGGTGGATGTGGGAGTATATTGCAGAAAAATCCGACAAATGCGAAACTCCTGCAGACTTCTGTTTCAAAAACTACAATAACTTATGTGAACTCTGCAATGATATTGCAATGATTAAATGAGCTTGGTGTTTGTCATCAATGTACATGCAGCACTTCTTTGCGGTAGCAAACGACCATTACTGTACTAATTTTAAAGTATAGGTCAAAAGCACCCCGATTTCTGAGGGGCAAGGGAAGTCACGTTCAAAAAGCACCCCAATGGGATGAGAACTCTACCACGTTCACGTCGTTCATCCTGGGTAGTGCAAACAATAAGAAAGGTTTGATTGTTACATGCATCACTACTTGTAGTGATGAGTTTCCATGATTCATTACTATTAGGGGTAGTTTTTGATATGAACCGTTTTTCTAGATATCCGCCTTAAAATTATCCTCATTTCTTACATTTTTTAGAATTTTTCGCAAGTTTTAACAAGGGTGTACAATTTTTTAAAAATGCGCCCCCCATTTTGTGTTCGCC